TTAGAACTGGCCAATAGTGGGACACAAATTTGCATTCGGGTGGCGGGAACTTCTTTGCACCGTGCATTTCTCTTTGCAGCTGAGAAATGCACCTTGCAAAGAAAGCTCCTCGTGGCGGGAAATAATTTAGCAGTGCCGAAGCGCGCGCACACAAAATCACACCCTTGGGTTGTGACACTATGGATGTCTAATCTGAACCTACTCTCCAACAACTTGTGGCGTTATTCCTTGTTATCCCGGGGGATGCTAGGGGAAACAAGGTCTCCCCCCAAACCCTTCTGGTCCCCCCTAGTGAGTTTATAGATGGTCACAAGGTCCCCCCTCAGCCTTCTCTTGTGAAGGCTGAACAGGTTCAGGTCCCGTAGCCTCTCATTGTAGGGTCTGCCCTGCTGTCCCCGGATCATGCGGGTGGCCCTCCTCTGGACCCTCTCAATGTTGTCCACATCCCTCTTGAAGTGGGGTGCCCAGAACTGGATACAGTACTCCAGCTGTGGCCTGACCAGTGTCGCATAGAGGGGGAGGATCACCTCCTTGGCCCTACTTGAGATGCACCTGTGGATGCACGATAGTTGTTGGAGAGTAGGTTCAGATAAAAAAGGCATTGGGTACTTCAGCCTTTACCTACTGAAAGATGATAAGAAAGCCTCCCCCACACTTTCCCTGATCCTCTTCTTGTTGATATACTTGGAAAAACCCTTCTTATTCTCCTTCACGTCCCTCGCTAGCTGTAACTCTAGTGTTATCTAGTGTTTCTGCTTTACTCGCACCCCACCATAGGGGTGTTTAATGATATGTTACCTTTCTAGTGGATGTGGGGGAAATGGAGCCATTGTGCCTGCGTTATCATGACACCCAAAGTGCATTTGCTCTGGGTCCACACCTTTGCTCCTGAGATCCAAGTCCTGGGTCTGACTCTGTCTGGCTGGCAGTGATCAGACATGAGAGAGTGCTTTCAAGAGTCTGGGGGAGCAGGGGCACGTTCCTGGGGTTTCTACATTGCAGGCTACTCCCACTCATGCACTATTTCTATGAACATGTTCAAGGGAGGATTTTTTGTTCCGGCAAGAAACCAATATTTGCTAAGCCTCCAGAGTCGAATGGGCTTCCAAGAGAGGTGGTGCTATCACCTAACTTGGAAGTCTTCAGGAGGAGGCTTGATGATCACCTGGCTGGGGTCATCTGACCTTGGTTCTCTTTCCTGCCAGGGGCAGGGGGTCGGACACGATGATCCAGCGGGTCCCTTCCGACTCTGTAATCTATGAAAAAACCCCCATTGCACGTTGGCCTTCCTGATTTCAACCCTGCATGCTCCAGCAATACTGTTATCCTCCTCCCTAGTCGTTTGTCCAAGTTTCAACTTCTTGTAAGCTTCCTTTTGTGGTTTTGCTCATTAAAGAGTTCTCTGCTAAGCCAAGGTGGTCTTATGCCAGACTTGCTAGTCTTTCTGTCCATCAGAATGGTTTGTTCCTGTGTCCTTAAGTTCCTTTAAAGAAAATTTACTTTTCCTGAACTCCTTTCTCCCTCAGACTGGCCTTCCAGGAGATCCTGCCCATCAGTTCCCCGAGTGAGGTGAAGTCTGCTTCTCTGAAGCCCAGAGTCCTTATTGCACGGCTGTCCTTCCTTCCTTTCATCAGGATCCTGAACTTTGTCATCTCATGGTTGATGCTGCCCGAGTTGCTATCCACTACTATGTTCCCAAACAGTTTTATTCCCTGTTTGTGAGCAGATGATCAAGAAGAGCATGGCATAGTTGGCCTCTCCAACACTTTTTTGCATCAGGAAGTTGTCCCCAGCACTCTCCATAAGCTTCCTGGATTGCCTGCACACTGCTGTATTGTCCTCCCAGCAGACGTCAGGGTGATTGAAGTCCCCTATGAGAACCAGGGCCTGTGATCCAGGAGACTTCCATTAGATGTTTGAAGAAAGCCTCATCCACTTCATCCTCTTGGTCTGGTGGTCTATAGCAGACACCCATCATGACATCACTCTTGTTGCTCACCCCTCTGATCCTAACCTGGAGACTTTCAGCAGGCCTATCTCCAGTTTCATACTGGAGCTTGGAGCAGTCCTATAGCTCTTTGACATACAGTACAACTCGTCCTCCTCTTCTTCCCTTCTTGAGCTGTTTGTACCCATCCATGACAGTGCTCCAGTCATGCGAGCTATCCCACCAAGTCTCTGTTATTCCAATCATGTCATAGTTCTGTGACTGCACAAGGACTTCCAACTCTTTCTGCTTGTTTTCCAGGCTCTATACATTCATATACAGACATATAAGGTAACTAGCCGATTGCCCTACTTTCTTAGAATGAAGGGCCTTCCCTGTTGTCCCCTCCAGTTTGTGCTTTCTTTATGTCACCTGCTTCTCCACTTACCTCGGGGCTTTGCTCTCCGTCCCCCAGTGAGCCTAGTTTAAAGCCCTCCTCCATGAATACCTTTATTGAGCACTATACTACTGTGCAAACTTCCATAGTAGGTCCTGTGTTCAGTAAAGCAGTCCTCCAGTTCCTGATAGCTTAGGACTCTAAGGCATGCCTCCAGTGGAATGGCATACTGCTTGGAGTGGACCACAGTATACTGTGCATCTGGACAAACCTTGAAGGAAAGAGAAGTTACCAGTAACTGGAGTTCTTTAAGATACTGTCCTTTATGCATGATCCACATCCCACCCTCCTTCCTCTCTTCCTTGGTGTCACTGGTAGCCTGGGATTCTGCAAATGAGAGAAAAGGAGGGTTGGGAAGAGTGAATTGACCTGGCGCCTAAGAAGAGGCAGGGCCTGTGCATGCTGTATGTGCAAAGCTGGGATAAAAATTCTCCATGCTCAAGTGAGTTACACTACCCACAGGGGATGAGCATGACAGCAACACTTTTTAAAGAACACCACTTATTGGTAAGGAACTTCTCTTCCTGGAATTCAGTGCAAGTCTATTCAAGTTTAGGATATTTTTCTTCTCTAAATTAAAACAAACAAACAAACAAAACCTGCGAACATTTGAAATTATGCTGCTGGTTCCTGTGATATGTCAAGGTTTTCTTTTAAAGTGTCTTGTCAAGTTTTAATTACACTCCTACCACTTAAAATGGATCAAGGTGCCATCAAAAGACATTTGCCAGTTTGAATAGTTTGTGTATTTGCAGAAGGTTTATGAAGTTATATTTTAATTAACTCCTTTTTGGTCAAATGGATCAGGGCATAAACTCCAGATTTTTCACAGTTCATTTTCCAGGAAGGAGTATGTGGGATCTCTTTGTAGGAAGGAGAAGATGAACAGTTTTTTTTTTGTCATAATGTGCCTCAAGAATATTAGCTTTTGATGCAGTGCTGTAGGTACTAGTATACATGGAGAAGAGCAAGAACTGCTTTATTTTTCTCTCTCCTTGTTCTTAGTGGAGGATTCCTGGCTCACAAGGATCTTTTTCCCAATTAAGTGCTATAGCTGAAGGTGAGACACAGTTGGTTTGGAACCAATCAATGCTGTTGCTAACTCTAGTAATATATATTAGTGCAGCAGGAGAGGGACAGTAAAGACTATGGCATGCATTGTTCTAGATGATCATAATAGGCAGTACTGCCCCGTGTAGATTTTACAGATTTAACAAAGAAAAGTAGTACTCTCAACTTTTGTGTGGTGTACATGGGGTGGACATATGATTGTATGGGTTAAAGCTGTGGCTGGTTGCAGTTTGTAACACTTGTGCACTTCTTTCAGTCCCGATCATCCTTGCTATAAACAAATGTGACAAACCTGAAGCTGATCCTGAAAGGGTGAAGAAGGAATTATTGGCATATGATGTGGTTTGTGAAGATTATGGGGGTGATGTTCAGGCTGTAAATATCTCTGCACTTAAGGTAAATTTTTGTTGCTGTAGTGATCAAGTCTGCAGAGTTCTACCATGTGGCAAGCAGCTAAGTTTTCATTTGACCCAGGGAAAATAAAACTTTTCTGTTCCTTGCATTTGACCTGGGGGTCTAATCCTAAGGTAGGCAAAGTGCTGTCAGCTCCTATGGGAGTCGGTCAGAGCCAGAGGCATTTGGTGTTTTGCTGTATCAGTCCCCTAGTGAGAAATGGTATAGAAGTACAAAATTCCAGTTGTTTTTCCTCCAATTTTTATGCTGGAAGTTTAGTGGGTGTTTGTTCCAGGATCCTTCAAGCTGTCGCTTTCTCATGTTTGCATGCTGGATAAAATGCTGTTGGAGGAAGAGTTTTACTTCTGTTAGACTGAGTAAAAGTAATTGCATAATTCAAATCTGAACACGAGGCACAATTGGTAAGAGAGAGCAAGTTGCATAAACCTACTCCCCTTTGGTAACTGATAGTTAATTACAGTAATCTAAAATCCTGTCATTGCTATTTGTACTTGGCTTTGTGGTGATCATACTGTTTCCTCATGAGAATTGGAAGAGCAATGACTTCATTGCTTTCATTCTGAATTTATCCCATACTCCTTTCCAAAGTTTCAGGCCGGTATATGCACTACTGCAATTAAACTTTCAAAGTCATTCACACTGACAAAAAATAAAAAAAAGTTTCTGTTCACCCTTCTGGTATCCAATTATTACCTTACCTGTTCAGTGTGCTATGGTCTGTTCTGGACAGTTTGTCCAGAATTGGTTGCAAAAGGATGCGTGCTAAATCCCAAACTGTGTTCTTTCTTCTACCCAATGGGCAACCCTTGTCTCCACATCCTTTCCCCTACAGTTCCTAGACCTAGCCTGATACTGAGGCAGTGTTGCTGCTGATATGAAAGGAGAAAGAAGGAAGTCTTACTTGCACCTTAACATCTACTGTTTGCCTTCAAGACTAGTACAGCAGCAGTCTCAGGCCCTGTATTATTTCCGCGGTATGCTCCCCAACAGATTAGGGTGCATTGCAGTATTGGGAATTATGGACCATGTAGGACTGTGGAGCTGGCAATGAGAGATCATCTCTGGATTCTGTTTTAACTAGCTGCAACCTTAATTGTTAACTGTTTTGAAACAGGGTGACAACCTGATGGCCTTAGCAGAGGCAACAGTTGCTCTTGCAGAGGTGCTAGAACTGAAGGCAGACTTCGCTGGCCTAGTCAAGGGAGTCGTAATAGAGTCTCGCATAGATAAAGGAAAAGGGTAGGTCAGCCTGTCATCTGTCTTCCTTACATCTGTGGTTACTGTTTATAATGCATTTATTCCAGGTACTTAAAAATATACCATCCAGATGATCTCTGCTCCAAAATTTAGGTGTTGATTACAACATTATATTACAAAACTCTAGTACTCTTAGAAATACTTCAGTAAAAGTTTTCTTTTGTTTTTCTTTCTTTCTTTTTTTTTTAAACAAATGCAGCTCTTTACTTTGGTGTAACTGTTCCTCTCCAGTGTTATTTTATGGCATAAGAACCAGGAGATAAGCAGCTAAAAGCTTAGCAGGATATTTTCATCCTGCCAGTCAAATGAAATCTTGTAATATAAATGGGCAATGTAAATAGTGAACCACAAACTAAATATTCTTCAAAGAAAGTATTAGTAATAAAGATTTTTTTAAATATTTCTTGAATATTAATCTGACAGTTTCTATTTAACAATAGTTTTTGTTATAAAATAGCAAATATTTTATGAACAGTCCATTAAATACTTAATCTGATTTTTTTTTTTTTTTTCTTCCTTTAAAAATAATTGTCTTTCAAGGAGACTTGTATAAAAAAAAAAATCAGTTCACTGTTGTGCCTTTTACCTGTTACCTTTTTTCATAGTAGCTAGGGTCAGGAAGGTCTTGAACAGATCACCTAGCCTGACCCCCTGCCACAGGCAGGAATGAATGCTGGG